CCTCCCACCTGGTCGCTTGCTTACCCTCTGCTCACTTCACCGCCTCCCCATTGCCCTTTCCTGGGTCAATCCGGTCTCTTCTCTCCTGCAGGCTGGGTGGAAAAGGGAGACCCTACTACTAAACTCAGAAGAGGAAGAACGTCACGTGACATGGGCTGGTGGGGGGTTCGGGAGGATGAGTTTGGCAGGACATCTGAGTTGGGACAGAGAAATGCTGGGATGAATCACCCTGGATGAGAGAGAGAGAGACAATCCTGGGGCTGGGCTGGTCACACCACGGGGAGGAAAGGGAGTGGGTTGAGGGTAATGAAGCCCAGTCTGCGTCTGACTGGACCCAGCAGGGAGGGACCTTGTCCTGTTGAATCAGTAGCCAGTCTAGACAGTAAACGTTGACAACATCTCTCACGTGGCTGGACGTGTCGCATCAGATTTGGGGAGAGTGGTGATGACTGTGATGCTCTCATTCTAAATGGTCTCATGGCAGCCAGGCAGCCAGGGAAAGTCAGGGACCACCCAGGCTGGGAGGGGATCGGAATCAAGCACCGTTGCCCTTGGGGGGCTATCCCAATCTTAACGTCACTCCCCTACCCGATGGGGAGCAGGGACAGGACAGGCAGCTGGAATCAGAGAAATGGGAGAGGGGAGAAGAGAGCAGCAGACCACACGCGACAGGGGACCCAGCACCACAGCCAGTTCTGTTAGGTGGACTCACCCAGCCCCACTTTCGGTCCTCGGATCAGCTTATAGAATCAGAGTTTTCGTGCCAGAAGGGACCTTACTTCATCAGTGGAGAACCTGAGGTCAGAGAGGTTAAATGACTTGGGAAGGGTCGTATGGTGAGTGGTGAATGTGGGGCCGAGGAAGGCACTGGTGATCCCAGATCTTCGCCCCATCCCCCCCTCAGCCCTTTCTCTCTGCTGTTGCCTTGAAATAGAGGCTGAAACAGCGCTTTCTGTATCCCTGCAGCCTTTACATTACGCAAAGCCCCCCGCTGCCTCGTGCCCCAGACTCCACAAGGGCTGATGGCCGTTCCCCACACCCTGGTCACCGAGCCTGGGCCCACACACGTCGCTGAGTGTCTGGGACTGAGGAGTCCGCAGGGAGCCTTTCCCTCCTGCCTGGCTCTTCCTCCCTCTCCACCCATTCAGGGCTTTGCTCTGTGAGGCGGCCTACTTTGCCCTGTGGGTCAGTTCATTTTCAGGCTTCTGTTAGAGGAGACCATTGGCTGTGCCCCAAGGCGTACAGAGCAGGAGAGAAAGGCGAAGGAAAGCCGGGGGGAAATGTGTTTGGTGGCTGCGTGCCATGCCTGCCGTGGACAAGGGCCTTATACCGCCCATGAACTCACACAGCGAACATATTCTTACCACCCGCCCCACGTTAGAGATGAGGAAACCCAGGTCGTTCTGATTCCAGAACTCGTGCCCTTCTCCACTTTTCAGACTAGTCTTACATCGAGGGCTGGGCCAAAAGTACACACAACAATAAACCAGCGAGAGAATAGGACCGTGATGGGAGGAGGGTCATGGGCGAGTCCGGGTGGGAGGCCAAGGAGAAGGGCCTTGTAAGGTGCAGTCAGCCACTGTCCCCCCACCTCCCTCAGACGTCTCCCCACCATGCCCCCTCCCTCTTCCGATGCAAGGTCTCCTAGGGACACAGCTATGTCAGTCTGGGGTCCTTCCCTCCCCCCTCCCCCCACCCGGCTGCTGACACGGCTGAACCAGACCCCGGGAGATGGAGGGGCCAGGGTGTGTGTGAATGAGGTATGGAGGGGCCAGCTCCTCGGGTTTCAGGAGCGAGAGCTTCGGGTGTCTGGTGGGTTAAAAATACAGAGGCCCCAACTCAGGGTCATTTGACACCAGTGGCTGAGCCGGCTGAGCCCAAGGGCCTGAAAGCAGGGGCTCAGAGGGAAGGCGCCGAGCAGAAAGCAGAGAGCCGAGCAGCGCAGCGCAAAGGGTGGGGGAGGGTGCAGCTACTGGAAAGCGTAGGGTGGAACTGAGGAGCCAAGAGCAAGGAGAGGGAGCGGGATGGGACGAGGAGTCTGGCAGCTGCAGGAGAAGAGGAGGAAACGCAGCGAGCCTGGGCCCCCACTGAGTCCATCTCACGCCCTCGCGGGCACACGGAAGGTCAGACTCATCGTGGACAAGTCTGATGTTCCAGGGTCTCTGTCCACATGCTCCCCTCCCCCAGCGGGCAGCCGACGTGAGAGACGGGGCTGGACGTCATCTAGAATCTACCACCTACTGCTGCCCCGTGGGTCTGCCCAGCCGTCCCACTGGCTGCTCCGGCCGCGGGGCTGTGCGCACTGAGCCACACTCCCGTGAGCCAGGAGATGGGCTCTGAGGTCTCGGGCTCCAGCGTGCCCCGCCCAGGCTGGCTCCGGCCCCTCCTGCGCCAGGGGCAGCTGTGCTCCTGGACTCACTCTGCCACGCGCCCGAGACTTTCTGTGGCCTCCGCCCTGCAAGGCCTGCCCACGGGAGCGTGGGAAAGTTCACTCCTACAGAATTCCACGCCGCCGCCTGGGTGCAAAATGAACACGGACGCTCCACAATCGGAGCTATCTCGGGTGGGCATGGGGGTTCCTGGCTTTGACCCAGCCCCGCCATGGGGGTGCCTCCGTTTACCAGCGAATGGTAAGCGCCTGGAGAAGGTCCTTCCTCCCCAGGTACCCAGAGCTGAACTCATCCACTTGGCCCTCGCCCCCAAGACGGGCTCCAGAAAGTTAGAGAGAGCCTTTCCCAACTCGGCTTGGCTCTCGGTGCACAGAATTAACCTGCATCCTTGGCTCAGGGTTTCCCAGTGCTAATCCCCCCGCCCCCTAGTGTGTATACCTGATCCTCCTTGTGAAAGACAGGAATGAATGACTGCTATTCGCTGCTCTCCTCGGCACCAGCGGTCCGGGGACCCTCCCTCTCCCCTGTGCGCAGAAAACCGAGGATCAGAGTCCAGAGCAGGAGCAGGGGGCAGCGGCCAGGGGCTTTCTCCATTCCTCGGGGGCAGAGGCGCCCCAGGCCCATCTCGCAGCGCTGCCCACCCCCCCCCCCCACCTCCGCCCGTCCTGCCCCTGCTTTCCAAGTTAGGAGTGCTGAGTGAAGCAGAGGAAACCGGCTGGAACTGAGCCCGGCCTCCAGTCCTGGATGAGGCTCCATCTTTTATTCAGAGAATGACCTCATCCTTGGTCCTGGTTCTTGAAAGGGAAGGGCAGGGGGTCTCACGCCTGCAGCCTGCATCGCATTTGCGCTGCCCCTCTTCGCTACAGGACCAAAGAAACAGACTTCACCTGGAAGGGGTTCCAGGTTCTAGGACTTAGAGTTAATACTGCGCATGGCCCTTCTCTCCTGCTTCGTGGATTTAACCTCTGATGCAGAACATCTCCCTCTCTACCCCACTTCCTCCTCCCTGAGTCCCCTGGCCCTCACGTCCCCTACTTACCCCAACTCCGCCTTCACCAGCCCCCGTTTCATTTACCTCTCAGCTCATCTGCTCTTATTTTTAGCTCCAGCCCTTTCCTTTCTTAATATGGTGATGAGCTAGGCTGGTGTGGGGCAGGGGCCGAGGAGCCCTGGACATTGTGGGGAGGGGAGAGGAGGGAGGGTCTGGGAGCCGGGGGAGAGGCGCGGGAGGTGGAGATGCCAGCCTCACGGAGCTGTCCTGGCCTCAGAAGGTTACCCGTCTCCCCTGCCAATTCTGAAAACATATTTAGAAGGACCAGGTGGGGCTGAGGGTGCCAATCTCAGGGCAGCTCGGGTTCCCTCCCCGCCCCCTGCTCCCAGTCCTCCTCCTGACCCTTTTTCTCTTGGCTCTGTTGACAGTGTCTCCAGGACCCAGCAGTGTCCTCTGTCCGCTGCCCTAGGCCCTTCCCCACCCCACCCTCACTGTGAGCCCCCAGCTCAGGAGTCAGGACCCAGGGCCCCTCCCTCCCGAGCGAACCTCTTCTGGACCAGCAGAGTCGACCTGAGATCTCACTACCTCCATGCGCGCCGCGGTCAGGATGGGGGCCAGAGCTGTGCCGGGCCTGCGGCTGGCGCTGCTGGTGCTGCTGGTGCTAGGGACACCCGAGTCCGGGGTGCGGGGGCAGGACGGGCTGGACTTCCCCGAGTACGATGGCGTGGACCGTGTGGTCAATGTCAACGCAAAGAACTACAAGAACGTGTTCAAGAAGTACGAGGTGCTCGCGCTGCTCTACCACGAGCCTCCGGAGGACGACAAGGCCTCACAGAGGCAATTCGAGATGGAGGAGCTGATCCTGGAGGTGAGTGCCGGGGGGGCCACCGGCCCAGCCCCTGTGTGCAGCCCCCCCACCCCCAGCCTACCACCCCACGCAGGCCTTTGAGGGTGACAATGGGGCAGGACCCCTGTCTTGACCAATAGGACCCAAGGGGCATGTGGCCTCAGCCGAAGGAGAGAGAGAGACTTGGGGCCCAAAAGTACCACTGGAGTCAGCGGTCTGGGGGTGGGGTGGGGTGGGGGAGGGAGACTGTGAGGAACGTCTCCTCCACGCTACAGGAGGCTGGTAGTACCAGGTTTGGCTAGGACGGGGGTGTCCTCAGAAGGGGGGCAAAAAAGGAAAAGGGAGGTTCTCCAGGGGAAGGGGGGACATGCCCCTCTGTGTACACTTTAGGAGCAGCACCCCGAAGAGGGCTAAACTGAGTATAAATGTCACTGCTACTAACATCTTGCAAGTCATTTACTTCATGGCTGACGGTGTACAGAGCCCAGCAGGCCTCCACGTGCCTCAGTCCCCGCTCTGCCTGCTCTGCCTCCGCTCCCTTGCGCCCCACCTGCCCCTATTGGATCAAGCAGGCTATTCTGGTGGGAAAATTCTTGTGGCTGGAAGAGGCTTCAGAGCGCCTTCCCCAGCTTCTCTTTGTGGGAAGACTCTCCTACCCCCAAGCTGACCGCGGGCTCAGAGGAGAGAGGGGCTCTTCTACAGGAAAAACACCTGCGCCTGGAGATGCCGGGCGATGCAGTCGCACATCCCTCCGGCGCCGGCATGTGAGCGCTCCTGGTTCCGGCCTCAGCAGCCCCTTCTCTCTCCTGGCTGTAAGACAGGCCCCGCTTACCCAGGGCTTGGAGTATTTCGGGGTGAGATACCAGGACCGCGGGCTCTCATGTCTGTGTGCCCCTGCCAGGCTGGAACCTGCCATCTGAGTAATGAGCTGAGTATTTTTATCCTGAGGGCTCAGCATCCCTGGCCGTGCACCTGCCAGCTGCCACCCTTCCTGTCCCCCTGGGACTCCAGGAGGCTGTGTGAGGTGGGGTTGAGCCGAAAGCCACACCCAAGGCAGAGCGCACCAGCCTGAGAGTCTAGCAGGCCGGCCAAGGGGTGGCGACCTGGGGAGTGAGGGTGAAGGGGAACGTTCACCTGGATGAGGGGCGCCCAGCCGTGTCTCCTCTGGCTCTGGCTCTCTCCCTCTGAGGGTGACAGTGCTGGTCCCAGTGACCTCTACTTTCAGGCATTCCCCGCTCATCAGCAATGTGACCAGCCCACCCCAGCCCACTACCCGCCTGCTCTCCAAAATTCTCCCCATCGCGGTCACCTGTGAGAATCCCAGGGATGTTGCCCCCCCTTGGGCACGGCCTTTGGTGAGGATGGATGTGTGAGCTTAGCCCTGATCGAGGGAAGGGCCTCCGTCTCTCTAAAGCCAGATTCCTCCGCATTCCTGAGGAAGCAGGCGTATCGCGCTTAGCGCTTCGCAGTTCAACGTAATAAGCTCATGGCAGCCCTAGCTGGTTTGGCTCAGTGGATACAGCATCGGCCGGTGGACTGAAGGGCCCCAGGTTCGATTCCAGTCAAGGGCACATGCCCAGGTTTGCGGCTCAATCCTCAATAGGGGACGTGCAAGAGGCACCCAATCAATAATTCTTTCTCATCATCGATGTTTCTCTCTCTCTCTCCCTCTCCCTTCCTCTCTGAAATCAATAAAAATATATTTTTTTAAAAAATAAGCTCATTGCAAACAAGCAGATGTTCAGTCATTTACTGAGCGAAGGAACATAAGGGTGGGGTTGTAGGAAAGGTGGGGGTTATCTGGATCCTTACACAGCGTCAAGGTCAACTCCTCAACTGCCTGCACCCCAAACGGCCCACTTGGAAGCATGCGGTGGGGAATAGGGGTTACTATGAACTCCAGGGGCTGACTCCAACCTCACCCTCCCTGCAGTTAGCAGCCCAAGTCCTAGAAGACAAGGGTGTTGGCTTCGGGATGGTGGACTCTGAGAAGGACACAGCTGTAGCCAAGAAACTAGGTAAGGGCGGGGTGGGAGCACAAGAAGGGGAAGGTGGCCTGGAGACTGGACGGGCAGCCCTGGTCCGGGCTAGGACAGTGATGGTGAACCTATGACACGCGTGTCAGAGGTGACACTCGAACTCATTTTTTTTGGTTGATTTTTCTTTGTTAAATGGCATTTAAATATATAAAATAGATATCAAAAATATAAGTCTTTGTTTTACTATGGTTGCAAATATCAAAAAAATTTCTATATGTGACACGGCACCAGACTTAAGTTAGGGTTTTTCAAAATAATGACATGCCGAGCTCAAAAGGTTCGCCATCACTGGGCTAGGAGCTCTACCCTGCTATTCTGAATGGAGAAAATACTGACATTAGAAGGGTTATGGCCAAGGGTCCTGGCCTCTTTTATTCCTTATAGAGACCCCTGCTCAAGTCCCAGAAAGAGGTGGACACGGCCTTCTTCATATGTTTGTCAGAAAACTAAAACACAGGACCAGGTGCTGGGGGAAGGGGAGTCAGGGAACTCAGGTGGGGCTGGAGAGGCCTCAGTAAAAGCCTCTTCCCATCCCTCCCCCTCCAGAGCCCTGGATAGGTGTTACAACACCGGCCACCAGGGGGCAACACAGGCCTGAGACTGGCCGTCAGACATGGATGGGGTGGGGTAGTCAGTGATTAAGTCTTCCAGTCAGTAACAGCAGAGGTTAAAGGACTGAACTGGCAGCTGGCCACTGGAGTCCTCAGGGGAGGTCACATGAATATCTCTCTTTAGTATGACAAACAGAGAAAGAGAAATCTTTCTACATCCTCCCCTAACACCCCCACCTGATCTCAGCTTCTCCCTGGAGAGCCCCTTGAACCAGGGCGTAGACCCCAGGGGTGTAGGGCTAAGGGGCAGAGGAGGTGAGCGAGGCTGGGGAGGTGGTGGGGTCCAGTGGGATTATAGAACGGGCTCTGGCCCTGACTCTGGGGTCTGTGGGAAGGCTGGGGTCATGCTCTTCTCTGGCCCACTCCCTAGGACTAACTGAAGAGGACAGTATCTATGTGTTCAAGGGAGATGAAGTCATTGAATACGACGGCGAACTCTCTGCTGACACCCTGGTGGAGTTTCTGCTTGATGTGAGGATTCATGACCCTGGACCTAATGTCCTTGCTTTAAGACTTTGTGCCTATCTTTAACCAAACCCAACCGTATACGTGCATGCACACACACACACACACACACACACACACACATACACCCCAGTGAGCACCTTCCTCCTGTTCCCAGCCCTCTTCTCCTCATCCTCATTCCTCTCCCTCCAGTGAGGACGGAAACTCACTCTCTTCCTTCAATGTCCCTGCTCTTCCAGGTCCTAGAGGACCCTGTGGAATTCATTGAGGGTGAACGAGAGCTGCAGGCATTTGAGAACATCGAGGATGACAACAAACTCATCGGCTACTTCAAGAGCAAGGACTCAGAGCGTGGGTAACCCTCCGACTCCACGGTTCTCCTCCCTGGACTTCCCGCTCCCCCACACTTAACCCACTTCACGGCCCCTCTGTCTCCTAACTCCTCGCCACAGTCAGCTCCATCACCTGCCCTGATCTCCGGCCCTCTGGTGGTTCCCAGAGGGGCACCTCCAGCCTTCCACCGCCCCCATCACATGCTTTAGTCACTCTCAGAGGGTTGGGGGGGGGGTCTCAGAACTAGGGAGACAGACGGGAGAGGGCTCCTTGCACAGCCTGCTCTCCCAGAGACTGACTCTGCGTCCCCCTCCAGATTACAAGGCTTTTGAGGACGCCGCAGAGGAGTTCCATCCGTACATCCCCTTCTTCGCCACCTTCGACAGCAAGGTACTCCTCCCCAGAACATATTGGGTCTCCCTCGTCCTCCTCAGCAGCCCTCCAATCCCTCTCCCAGAATCTATGGGGGCCTATTCCCTCCCTGCACACCACACTCCCACCTCTACCTCGGGGCTCCCCACCCCAAAGATTTTAGATGATCTAACCCAGTCCTCTCACGTCCAATCAAAGCCCAGAGAAGTGAAGACGCTTGTCCAATGTCACAATGGCAGTCTGACTCCCTCCCTCTTCCCTGCTCCCCCGTCACACTGCTTCTCACCATAACCCTGCATCCCCTGCTCCGCCCCCACCCCCAAAGGTGGCAAAGAAGCTGACCCTGAAGATGAACGAGGTTGACTTCTATGAAGCCTTCATGGACGAGCCTGTGACAATCCCAGACAAGCCCAACAGCAAAGAGGAGATTGTCAGCTTCGTGGAGGAGCACAAGAGGTAGGGCAGGGGCAGAGCCCTGAGCAGGCGAGAGCACCTGCCTGTGACATGGGCGGGGGGGGGGGGGGGGAGTCTCAGACAACCAGGAGGCTTCTCTCACCTTGCGGTAACCCACTTCTCGATGCCAGTGCTCAAGATACGCTGACTTTTTTCCACAATCTTTTGCACCCTAACCAGCCCTGAGCCCTCACGCGTAGAAGGTTCATAAATGTGTACTGTGGGTTGTGATGAGTGTTGAGTGCCTGGGGTCTGCCAGGAACTGAGAGGTGCTTTCTACCTGTATTCTTCTATTTAATCTTTTTAACACCCTCAAGTAAAGAGGTTCTACAGGCAACAAGTGTCAGAACTGAATTCCAACCCAGATCTGGCCTGTGCTCTTTCTCATACATTACCCTGTACCAGTCGTACTCAACAGGGTGGAGGGACTGGCGAGGTAGGGGGAGGATTTTGCTCTCCAGGGGAGATTTGGCAGTGTCTGGAGAGAGTGGTTGGTTGGGGGCCATGCTGCTGGTATTTAGTGGGTAGAGGACAGGGATGTTGCTAACCATCCTGCAGTGCACAGAACAGACCCCACAACAAAGAGTTACCTGGCCCCAGATGTCAATAGTGAGAAACCCTGCCCTACACTCAGACATCACTCTCTGCTTTCATAGAACTTCACAGCTGGAAATACCCTTTCATCGGTGTAAACCACACTCACTCTCTCCCTCTAGATCAGGGGTCCTCAAACTACGGCCCGCGGGCCACATGCAAATACAAATATTGTATTTGTTCCCGTTTTGTTTTTTTACTTCAAAATAAGATATGTGCAGTGTGCATAGGAATTTGTTCATAGTTTTTTTTAAACTATAGTCCGGCCCTCCAACGGTCTGAGGGACAGTGAACTGGCCCCCTGTTTAAAAAGTTTGAGGACCCCTGCTCTAGATTATGGTCCCCTTTATCAGGGCAGAAGTGTGTTTGCTTTGTTTAACTCTGTCTACACAGCACCTAGCACAGGGCTCAGAACATCTCAGACACCCAAATTTATTGAATGAATGAGTGAATGAATGAATGAAAAAAATGAATACTCAGATGCTCAGTTCTTACCTTCCTACCAAAAGGCGCTCTTGCAGTCCCCTTGCCCACCCTCCATTCTCCCACCTGTTTAAACCATGCAATGATCTGAGCCTGGTGCCCAGAACTTAGACTTTGCCAGGTGTCTTTGTTCTAGGCTACAAGCTGCCCATGCCCTCGGCAAGGCCCACAGGCAGCCTCTGCTATGGGGACTCTCTGGGGGGTGTCCTCTGTCTGTTCTAGATCGACTCTGAGGAAACTGAAGCCTGAGAGCATGTATGAGACCTGGGTGAGTACCCCTGGACAGGGCCAGGCCCTGGGGGAACACAGGTGGGTGCAGAGTCAAGCCCTAGAAACGTCCTCATGCCTCACTTGTAGGAAAGACAATGCGCCAGCAAAGGTTGGGGGTTTTTGTTCTGAAGAACGTGTCACCTGTAAGTTGATGAAGATGACAAGGTAGCCCTAGCTGGTTTTGCTCAATGGATAGAGCGTCGGCCTGTGGACTGAAGGGTCCCGGGTTCAATTCTGGTCAAGGGCACCTGCCAAGGATGCGTGCTCGTTCCCCAGTAGGGGGTGTGCAGGAGGCAGCCAGTCAATGATTCTCTCTCATCATTGATGTTTCTATCTCTTTCTCCCTTCTCCCTTCCTCTCTGAAATCAATAAAAATATATTAAGAAAAAAAAAGATGACAAGGTAGAGCCACAGTTCTGGGGCTGAAGGGTTTGCCAGAGGAGGTATGGGGCCTAGAGCTGAAGGGAGGTGTCACTTGGAAAAGGGTCACCACCATAAGACGTCACCTAATCCAGAAGCTGAGTTTCCGTAAAATTCAGGTTCAGGGAAGAGGTAAGGTCTGTTCAGGGCTCTCTGACTTCGGGGAGTATGGCTAAGGCCCCCGGCTTCCCCCACCGCAGGAGGACGACATGGATGGAATCCACATTGTGGCCTTTGCGGAGGAAGCTGATCCCGGTGAGGGAGGAAGACTGGATGAACTGGGGGGAGACGGGGTGTTTTGGGAGGCATTCCTGGGAGAGTGCAAGTGGCCTGGGCTAGACATGTGGAGGTGTGGGAGGTGAGGAGAGATCCGGGTTCTGTCTTCTGCTTGTCCCTTTTCTCTCCACCCACCTCATGCTTCTCTCTTTGTTCCCTCTAAGACGGCTATGAGTTCTTGGAGACTCTCAAGGCTGTGGCCCAAGACAACACTGAAAACCCTGATCTTAGCATCATCTGGATTGACCCTGATGACTTTCCCCTGGTAAGAGGCACCGCTCAGGCCCGCTGTCCTGTTAGGGTCTAGGCCAGTGGTCGGCAAACTCATTAGTCAACAGAGCCAAATATCAACAGTACAACGATTGAAATTTATTTTGAGAGCCAAAATTTTTAAACTTACACTATATAGGTAGGTGCATTGTTATTAACTTAATTAGGGTACTCCTAAGGCTTAGGAAGAGCCACACTAAAGGGGCCAAAGAGCTGCATTTGGCTCGCGAGCCTCAGTTTGCCGACCACGGGTCTAGGCTATGGCATGTTCTGAAGGGAACTTGTTTCTGAGTTCCTATCCCATCTCCTGGCTGGAGGCCCTGGGAGATGATGCCTGCTGCATGCTCAAGGGCGCCATGGGCATGGAGAGAGCCTGAGAGGGGAGCGGGATGGGAAGTGAACCACATGGGACATCACCCACATGGATCCCAGAGCAGAAGCTGGGCAGAGGTTGGCTCCTTCTAGAGAAAAGGAGAATTTGGGGGAGCAGATGGACACATGAACCCTGCACGTGGATGTACACAATCATAGAATCAAAGCACAGAGGTTCCTGTTTCAGGGACAGCTTTGTTCCCAGCCTGATCCCCAACACCCAGCATTCATTGTTGAAAACTAACTGAATGAACAAACAGAACTGTGAGGAAATGGGCAGTTACCAGGCATGACTACCTCAGTGTAGGGATGTGGGAACGGAGGGCGGGGAAGAAGTGACTTGCCCAGAATCACAGGGTCACTCAGTAGCAGACCCAGGATCAAAACGGGGAGGAGTCCAGATGCCTGGCTGGTCCTCCTGATACTTCTCCTTCTGATTTCTTCCCTTTAACGCAGTGGTTCTCAACCTTCTGGTCCTTCAAATACAGTTCCTCATGTTGTGACCCAACCATAAAATTATTTTCATTGCTTCTTCATAACTGTAATGTTACTACTGTTATGAATCATAATGTAAATATCTGATATGCAGGATGGTCTTAGGTGACCCCTGTGAAAGGGTCATTCGACCACCAAAGGGGTCACGACCCACAGGTTGAGAACCGCTGCTTTCACTGCTTAGCTCTACCTATGCCCTCAGGCCCTGCAGCTGGGCCCCCCCTGCTCTGCCCGGGCTCCTAGTGCTCTTTATCCCTGCGCTGACCCTCACACCCTCCTGGACTCATGTGCCCTCGACCCCATTAAGCTGCCCATGTGTCTCTCCACAGCTGGTTCCGTATTGGGAGAAGACGTTTGACATCGACCTGTCAGCCCCACAAATAGGAGTCGTCAATGTTACTGATGTAAGTTTCCGTCACTCACCCCTGGTTGACCCTCAGCTCTGCTTCCCAGAATAGCTGACTCTCTTCTGCTCTGCTGAGGAGGAACCCAGTCTTCCCAGAAGAAGCAGACGTGCCCAGCCTCGCCCTAACCCCGAACACGGCCGTCTCCACCTGTTAGAATCGGCTGCTCATCCATTAAGGCCCAGCTCAGACATCCTCTTCTCCATCAAGTCTTCCCAGATCTCTCACTCAGAATCATTTCTTCCTTAGCGCTCTCAGAGCCCATTGGCACTGAAAACATGACGTTCATGTGACTATTTATGTACCATACGTGTCCCTTCCAGGAGACTTTGAGCTTTTTGAGGGCAGAAATCTCATCCGCATATGACAGGTGCTTTGATCATGTTTGTTGAGTTGAACTTAATAAGCCAGTCTTTGCTTTCATATAATTCTCAGTCTAACTAGGGTGGCAGGTATTCTATTCACTACCAGGACAGGTCTGATAAACTCTATAATAAAGATATAAATAAAATGCTAGGAAGGCACAAAAATCAAAGTGATTTCTGCTTGAGAAAATCAAAGAAGCGTTTATTTTTTATATTTGTATTAATTTCAGAGAGGAAAGGAGAGGGAAGTAGAAACATTAATGATGAGAATCATTGATCGGCTGCCTCCTGCACACCCCACACTGGGGACTGAGTCCACAATCAGGGCATGTGCCCTGACCAGGAATTGAACTTGTGACCTTCTGGTTCATAGGTTGATGCTCAACCACTGAGCCACACTGGTCAGGCAGAGAAGGGTTTAAAAGGAGTGTGGCATTCAAAGTGGAGATTGCACAATGTAGAGGAGTTCTACAAGTGAAAATTATGAGAAATCACTTCCAAATGAATGGAAAAGTTAGCACAAAAGGTCAAAAGTAGGAAAATGAATATTAGGGTCAGGAAAAGGCAAGTCATTTTTTGTGGCTTGAGAGTCTAGAGGTCTCTGAGCATGGTGCTGGGAAAGCAGGTTGTAAAAAGCCTTGAATGCTGAAGTTTCTGACTTTACTCTTTAGGCCATGGAGAGCCACCAGTGGTTCTCAACCTTCTGGCCCTTTAAATACAGTTCCTCATGTTGTGACCCAACCATAAAATTATTTTCGTTGCTTCTTCATAACTGTAATGTTGCTACTGTTATGAATCATAATGTAAATATCTGATATGCAGGATGGTCTTAGGCGACCCCTGTGAAAGGGTCGTTCGACTGCTAAAGGGGTCGTGACCCACAGGTTGAGAACCGCTGCTTTCACTGCTTAGCTCTACCTATGCCCTCAGGCCCTCAGGGAGGCAGGTATTCCATCACTAGCTGGCATGGCACATGCCAAGGGGCACACAGTCTAGTGGGGGCAGACAGACATGTAAGGTCTGTTTTAGGAGCTCAGCATGGCAGAAAGACTGCAGGGAGAAAACCTATTTGCCCATCCAGCCGTTCTTTCTACTCCTACGGTCACTGTTCTAACCTAGACCTTCTCCCCTGGCCCCTGACATGAAGGGAGGGGACAGAGGACACAGGGAAGGATGTGCCGAGCCCATCGAGTGGGAGGACAGGTCCAGAGCACTAAGTCGGCTTAGCTCAGTCCTGTCTGTGCTGTGTCCTAGGCGGACAGCATATGGATGGAGATGGACGATGAGGAGGACCTGCCTTCCGCTGAGGAGCTGGAGGACTGGCTAGAGGATGTGCTGGAGGGCGAGATCAACACAGAGGATGATGATGACGACGACGATGATGATGATGATGATGATGACGATGACGATGACGACTAGTTGCTATGGCAACCATCTCCGTGCCCCATCTGCTCTCCTCAGGCTCCCTCCCGCCTTCCCTAAAGTCCTCCAGGGATACTAGGTCATTTTCTGCTATAGGGCCCCTGGGGCTTTTATGCTGTGTGCTGAGACCCTGGTCCCCCTCACCTGATGAGGAGAGGAGCTACTTTTCCCTACACAACAGCCCAGCTATCTCATCTGACTTCTGTGTCCTGTCCCACAATGTCCTATATCTATTATGTTCCTTCCATTACTCCCTAAACTCTTCCTTGTGATTTTCCTCTTGTCATATCTCTGGGCCCCCCTCTCTCCTCTGTTCCCCCCACCTGTGCTTCCCCCACTTTCTCAAATCCCATATCCTTGGCCAAGAGGAAGGGAGGGCCCTGTGACTGGGGCTGAATCTCCACAATCTTTTGTTAATGTATTTGGGTCAAACAGGAGGCCTCAATAAAGGATCTGGGGCAGCTGAACAAGTGTCTGCCGGTGAGGTCTCACCCCGATGGCAGGAGGGAGCCAGCCAGACGGGGCGCGGGGTGCGTTAGGTGTGGGTGCCTTTTGAGAGGTGGTGATGCGGAGTGGGGGGGCTCCCTTCAGGCAGTTAAATCAGACGAGTGTGGATGTTTATCTGCTGCAAGTCAACAAGCCCTTTCTGAGCACATGGTGTTTGTCCGGCACCGCTGTGAGGCTGGGGAGAACAGAGCGTGCCCGCCTCTCCCCGCGCTCGAGCTGATTAACCTCACTGGGAAGGCAAGACAAGCACACGGAAAACAGTTGGAGAAAAACACAAAGCAACCTGCAATTAAGTGATTCTGTTTTGCTCGATAGCACCCTCCCTGCCGCTCTTATTTGAACGCCAAGACTGAGTGCGAATAACCCTTCCCTGGCGAGGCCCTTCCAGAGGTGGCCCTCCCGCAGGTCGCTCCTCCCAGTTCCCTGCACCTTCTCGGCACCTCTATATTGTTCCAGCCTAGCTCTTCATTTACATGTCTGTCTGCCCCCACTAGACTGTGTGCCCCTTGAAGGCAGGAGCCCAGGCCTTTTCTGTGTCCACAGGGCCTGGCACTCAAAAAGTTGTGGTGAGACGGCACAGCCATGGCATACTCAGCCCCAGGGCGCCTTATGTGCCATGCCTGCTCAGCCTGGTTCAGTGACCCTGAGTTGGGGAGGTGAAAGGATTAAGAAAAGACAGACAAGAGAATGAAAGCTGGGTCTCGGTGGGACACTGCCTCTCTGATGGACGGTGCCCACACCCACCAGCCGTGTCTTTATTTTATAGCAGATGCCACGAGACAAAGTAGGGGCGTGATCAAGATGTTTACAACATTCTCGTGGGTTTCACTCCTACTCAACTACATGCACCTGAACTCAACCAAGCCGACATCACTCAGGCACGTGGGGCCACGTGTCCGGACCATAGGTTCAAGCTTACAACGATAGCTGTTGGCTATGATTGTGCTGGGAGGGCTCTGCCCTCCAAGCTGGGACTTGCACGTGGCCATGAGAGGGCTGTGCCCTCTCCCCAGTCAAAGGCTTGAACCTGTCCAAACACTGTAGCCGCGCCCCACAAAAAGTAGTCCCTAATAAATGTTGGTTGAAAGAAGGAACAAACAAATAGAATGGGCTCAGAAGAGAGAGATCAGAGTGGGCTTTGATGGCTTCATAAAGGAAGGGAATCGTTTTCTGGGCCTTGAATAACGAGTGGGATTGGATTAGGGGCAAAGGAGTTGGGGAGGGGACGTTTCAGCCAGTGGAAACCTCAGAAGCACCAGAAGGATGTGTGTGTCCTTTCGGGGAGACAGAGGAAAGACAACAAGAGAAGCCTAAGTGGTGGCTGCGACCTGGAGTGGGCGTGATGGACCTGGACTGCCGAGGTGTTTGGATTTAATCCTGTGACTGGGCAGGAAGGGGATCAGGGAGGGAGATGAGGGACAGACCAGAGGCTGGGAGCCCAACTCTGAGGATCAGAGACTGTTATCATAACGGGGTGGCGCTGGGAGAACATGCACCCGAGTGGTGGCCATGGGAATGGAGAGACGCTGAGTTTTGTGCACGGAGGACCCCCCAGACCCGGGCTGGCAGGAGTTCCCGGGAGGAAGGAGTCACATTCTCTCCAGCACAGCCCAGGCTGGGGTGCCTGTCTGTAAAGGAGTCAGGGTTGGGGGGTGGGGGGGAGACCAAGCAACAGAACAAGCCCATAACTAACAGACAGTTCTCATGGATCAGGGATAAGGGTGTTGCTGGGAGACTGACTTTCTGAGTAGGGAAGAATGAGACCTGAGGTTAGAAAAGGTCTCCCCCTCCACAGACCAATCCAGAAAGTGCTCCTGGGGAAGGTGGCAGAAGGAGAGAGTAAAAACCACGCATTCATCCAACTTGTGCCCACTGAATAGCTGTTTAATACACAGTGTGGGTACGGGGCCAACACACTAATATCATGGAGCCCACTGCTTAGCACAGCTCCCATTTTAGGCCCCCATCGGTGTCAGTCCCTAGAGACAGACAATTTCTAAATCACGAGAGCCCGGTGGAGGGGCCCCAGTGTCCCCATCCTGCCAGCAGGGATGCCAGGGAGGCTCAGAGGCATAACCTGCCTGAGGAAGGGGCAGAGGCAGCGTGCAGCCCTGGTCTCTGTACCTGCTTGTGTCTGGAAGACCTGGAACTTCCTCTAATGCAGAGAAACCATTTAGTTTCTTTGAGTCTCAAACCGTTTTGGCCCCACCACACAGAACAAATGAGATACAGACCAAGGCAAATTAAGAGGGTGTTACCATCGAAGGGGCAGCACAGGGCACACTGGGGCACAGAGCCGAGAGAAGGGCTGGGAAGCCCAACTCAATGCCGCAGGAGCCTGCGCCTCTTCCGGGGGGAGTTTGGGCTCCAGAAAGGACGCCCCGTGGCTTCCGGCGGGGTCTCTGCCAGGTGGAAGCTGAGGGGAGGCCAGGGCCCTCCCAGAGGCCGTCCAGACACGAATGGGCCAGACCTCTCCGCAGGCCCAGACCCCGCCAGAGCTGAGCCCAGTCTTCAGGCTGGAGACGGGGTGAACACAGATGCTTCCCCACTTCTTCCTTCCTCCTTTCAGTCTGGCTGAGGGTCCGGGAGGAAAGTCCCTGGGGTGGAAGGGAAGTGAGAGCCGCCTGGGGGCCTGGGCAGAGGGCGGCTAGGAGCTGAGCCGCCTGTGGCTTTGCAAGTTGTCTATATTTGCATGCTGAGCTCAGTGCTGCTTTTTCTCCTTAGAAAATAAAATGACATCATGGTGGGGGAAGGCCGTGGGGTGGCATATTTGGGAAAGGTAAAACAACAAAAACACACCCAAGCGGGCTGGCTGGCTTCATCTTGGAGGGAGATCTGTGGCCGCAGGGCCGTGAAGGAGGCCCCAGAACTGCTCCCGGTCCCCACCCTCTGCCTCCAACGCGGGTAGTCGGGGCGGTCATTACCCACGACCCAGAGGTGGGGGTAGAGGTTTTTCCAAATCCCAAGTCAGGCCGCTAAGAGGACCCCGCGCCAAAGGCCTTCGGACCCCCCCTCCACTGACTCGATCGGTGCCCCAGGGCCCCGGCCGCGGTAGTCACGCAAGGTCGTCGGGGAGAAGGGTGGCCCCGAGGGGCAGGACTGGACCTGAGAATTAGGGGTTGAGATTGGGGAGGAGGCAGCTCCCCCTCCCCGGAGGCTGCAGAGCCCCAGCCCCTCGTCCGCCCCTCCCCGGCTCTGACGTCACGGCCGGCGGGTGGGGCGCGGCGCTGGGCTCGGCTCGGGCTCCGCGGGCGGAAGCGGCGCGGCGGGAGCCGAGGCGGAGGCTCCGGACGCGGC